TGGTTTCGTTTGAAGCTATGGCCTACATATACCCACATATATGGTTTTGTGTAGAGATATATCCTACATATAATCCCGTATATGGTTTTGTTTGGAGATGTGCCCTACATATACCCCCATATTTTTTTGGGAGATATGGCCTACATATAAACCCATATCTGGTTTCGTTTGAAGCTATGGCCTACATATACCCACATATATGGTTTTGTGTAGAGATATATCCTACATATAATCCCGTATATGGTTTTGTTTGGAGATGTGGCCTACATATACCCCCATATTTTTGGGGGAGATATGGCCTACATATACACCTATATCTGGTTTCGTTTGAAGCTATGGCCTATATATACCCACATATATGGTTTTGTGTAGAGATATAGCCTACATATAATCCCGTATATGGTTTTGTTTGGAGATGTGGCCACCATATACCCCATATTTTTGTTGGGAGATATGGCCTACATATAAACCCATATATGGTTTTGTTCGGAGATGTGGCCTACATATACCCCGATATAAGGTTATTTTGGAGATGTGGCCAACATATACCCCCATATATGGTTTTGTTTGGAGATGTGGCCAACATATACCCCCATATATGATTTGTGTGGAGATGTGGCCTACATATACCCCCATATATGATTTGTGTGGAGATATGGCCTATATATAAACCCATATATGGTATTGCATATATACATGATATATATTATGTATATATACCCACATATGTTATTATGTTTCCATTTAGATTTTATCTTTGGTAAATTTAAAGGAAATTCTCAATAACATCTGTCAATCAATTTAAGTGCCGTGTAATTGTCATAACCTACACTAGTGCTAGTAATACTAACATCAGATTGAACAAACATCAAAGGATAAATTAGTCGCAACAACGAATGATATCGAGTTCGCTGGTGTTACCTGGAAAGGTTAAATTGTGGGAGTAGCGAGTCGTAGCTGCGTTGGATAGTCTGGGTAGTCAGGGTACATTTTTATCAAGCGCGGCGACAAGGTTGAAGGGCGGTGGTCGTCGCGCAGCGCATGTTCGAATTTCGTGGAAACAAACAATGTATTTTACTCGCGTTGTATACGTCGCTATGAGTCCCATATCGGACAGAGTGGGCGCGACGAACACTGTTTAATAGTACTAGTACTAGTACCAATACGTGTTCTCCAATTCTGCTGTCCGCTGTGACACAATGAGGGTATGTTAATGATAAAACAATGATTTAATGCTCATTAAGGAATTCTAGTCATTGGATGTCCTGTAACTCGGCGTCAATTCAAATTGCAAAATATATGCGTAGACTTTATATGCGCAATTATTTGATTGCATTCGACGTTGTGTTGTGTTGTATTGCGTTGTGTTGTGTTGTATTATATTGTGTTGTGTTGTGTTGTGTTGTGTTGTGTTGTGTTGTGCTGTGTGTTGTGTTGTGTGTGTTGTGTTCACAGTCAGCTGGCGCACACGTGATAATAAAATAAATACGGTATTTACTATATGGGGGCCGCCATCTTGAATGACGCATAAAACTAAATGAGAGACAAGTTGTGAAACGCGTTTTTCAAATTCCTACAATTCTGGACAAAAATACAAATCTTTCACAAAAATACGATCCGTTGGGGTTACATTAAGCCAACCGATAACAAAATTCTACCGAATTCGGCGTTTTTGTGTGGAAAAATCCCTTACACACGAACACCTAATTACACGAAGAACATAGAACACTTTCCTGGGGGATTTGAAACCAAAAATTGCCATTCCAGCTCAGCAGCCAATCAGCGAAGGCCTTACAGTCAGATGACAATTTCGGTTTCAAATACCCCAGGAAAGTGTTCTATGTTATTCGTGTAATTAGGTGTTCGTTTGCAAGGGATTACAAAACAATGAAAGACACATTTCCGCGGTAAACATTTTTAATTAAACCTAAATATGTTTTATCTAACAGAAAATTATATTACAAAGAAATGTTTAAGGTATATCTTCAATGTATTGAAATCGTTTCAGAGTGCACATCGTCCATGTGAACACTATGAAGTAGGTGACGCCACAGTGAGTGATTGTGTTTTGTCACATCACTTAGGCCCAGGTTATGTTAACCAAGAATATATATATATATATATATATATATATATATATATATATATATATATATATTCATGCAGATCACATGCATCATGCCTGGAAACCAATTGTAGGAAATCAGTAGCGCCAATCTGTCGAGTATCTGCAGTTAATCCCGAAAATTGCACGACTAATTTGTCCAATAAACTTTAAACCGTTGCCGTAGAAATTCAATAAGGTCCGTATCGTCAACTATTTTACTTGATTAACCAAGGTACACATGTTGGCTGAGTCATAACTAATTTATAGTGTGTGGGAAAACTCAATATTTTGGCAGCTTTGATATTGCCATTTAATAATACTGACCTCATTATTCTTATATGAAGCGTTTGCGGTTGACGGATTTCAAATGTGTTATTTTTGTTTTCCATTTTTGTTTTCAAATGCTACATTCTGGCGCAGTTTATGTGTAGCGTTGTTATAGACACCCGGTTCGTTTACGTCGCCGTGCTTGTGGAATGTCATTTAAAAACAGTTCGAAGCGGGCGACTGAACAAAGCGCATAGGACCCAGCTAAATATATTATACATTTACTAACTACTTCCTCTACAACGTTCTTTGGTAACATCTGCCATTGTTATTCTGGCCATCGAGAATAGTGAATCCCATATTGACAACGTTCCGTTGAAATTAATACGTTAATCTTTTGTGACTAACGCTATCCGCTTGGGAATCTATCAAACATTCATGAAGCCTGTGGGTGTATGTCGACAGGTCGTCGTGCTTGGCCTTGACCTGCAAGGTAACGACAACATCGTGACGGCAATGAGAGGGCGGAGTTAACGATAGCGACGAGCCAATGTACGGAGCTTGGGGCGAATATCGAATTACTCCCAGAACAGACAAAGCATCTAGCTGTTCGTGGTAAACTGTTATGCCAGAAAGACAGGTCGATTACGTAACAAAACACAATTTGAACAAAAATAATAAGATCGGATCTTGTACATGCCACGAATGTGAATAGACATCAACAAGATTCCCCAATAATTGCCGGTAATCACACATGGAACGGTAGATTCTAATGGAACATGTCAAGAGAACTAATAATCGCCAATTCTCATTGGTCTACTGACACCGAAGTCAATCATTTGGTCCAATCATTTGCAGATTTAGAAATTGCACAGGCTCCCCTCATTAAAGTTACAACTTTGATACATTTGCAATCGGCAATTTTAACAGGGAAAGCGTTTAGTCTCGCACAAAGCAATTCCTCTTAGAAGTGAAAGTCACACATGTAGTGTAGTGTAGTATGTATGTACACGTGTGAAAAAAATGTTTACCGTACGCGTACAGGCGTACGTATGTAAAACGTGCGCATGTCAATGATTAACTTCACAAAGACCATATGCACGTCGCTCCGCGCAATCAATCAATCAATGTAATATTGTGAGACTAACACGTAACAGACACTTGTTAATTTTATTCTAAAGTATTCTGCATTCAACTAGGCATAAAATGGTTACATATACAGACTCTGATTCCAAATTTGTACATATATCGAATCTTTAAAGTTTGATATTTGAATAATGTTTCTTACACTCGTTATGTACCTTCACCGACACAAAATAACGCTCCTGTATTTGTAGTATGTTACAGTACGTTCTGATCGATAATTGAACGGGTAAAACAATACACGCAATGCTACATATAGGGAGTGTCGTTTCCCAGCTCAGTCAGATTTCAGGCTCGATATCTTATGAAGTTTTGGATTATGTGTTAAACTTTCATGCTGAAATTCGAAATCTGTTATGTGGGCGTTGGTGGCCATATCCTATGACACGCACGTGGGCAGTTAAATATTTTATTTCTGTAATCGCGTGATTCTGTCCTCTCCCTAGTACTTCGAAATGGTGAAAGAGGGTCTTGGTGACATTGACGGCGGACGGCGAAGATGCCATAGGCCCGAATGCGTATGTCGATTCTACGCTACGCGTGAAATTGTCAGACTATACTCTGAGAAATTGCGTAATATGACGGACACCTGAGTAAAGCTATGGGTATGTAATGAGACAAGAATAATCGTTTGAAATTTCTTGAACTACGTTTGGTGAACAATGTAGCGATGGTAATAATTAAATAATTAAATACACATAATTAAAATACAAATTACTGAATTACAGTCAAAAGCCACAACACAAAAACAAATATTTCGAAAATAATTTTCTAGCTAACATTTAAGCGATACGTATTTAGATTGTCACTTAGTGAACGTTATATGCTAGATACCGTTGAGTAGGCAATCGACCAATATAATCGATGTGCCACACTAGCTATTGCGCATATGTAAATGCTTAGATAAATCGTTGTAAAAGTTCAGAGGTCTTCTTTAAAAAATCCATATTCCTCAGTATGTTTAGTCTAAGCACCAACGACAACGTGCGACATCGATTACCCATCAAGCGTGATAGTAACATTGATTTACAGAAATGAACAAGGGATTGGTAACTAAGTGTTGTTAAAGGAGGATGGTCGTCGCCCCGCGCCGCGTTCTATAAACTTAGAGTTGACGTATACAAGTATATTACAACACAAGAAATACAATTTGAACGCGCTCCGTTGCCCTTAAATTTGGCACTATAATGTTTTGTTTTTTCACATAGCGACATATCAACGGTGCCTTGGCTACATAAAATTTACAGTATCAAAGTATTGACTTCTTTTGATTAGCTTTCTAGTAAGCTTTGCCGTGGTCCCCGTTTTCAAAACAAGGGCGTGTCATCCACCGTGTACAGTTTCCGGTCACTGACAAATGCACCCTCGACACATCATTTTCCGATTGCTGTAAATGTGAACAAATAATCTATAATTGAAACGGAAATTAAAACAAAATATGATTGATCAATTACTAATAAGGCGTACAATAAAAACAACTCACCTTGGCATATCGACTTGATTAATAATATTGCAAGTAAAATTAGCAAACTGTTGTTCATTACTTGATACATCACCATGGTATCAACTTGCTTCAAATGTTCGTAAAATGGCCCTGTATTTAAATGCAAAACCGTCCCCTCACCGAATCACAGTGCGTTATATCCTCTTTACAAAATCTTCCAGTATTTACTTCACCCGGTATCCTTATCTGTCTAATTCATCAGCAGCCAACCAATCCCCCTTTCTTTCTACTTCCCCGAGGCGGAATACGTAGTTGCCCAAATAAGGTATCCAATGGATCTGGGCACACACGACTGTTTAGTATCGTATTCTGCAATGCTTCCGTGCAGGCAGCGAAAGCAAAATGTCGAGATCAGCCCGGGATGTCAAATGATGGGTTTAATCGGGACTTCAAACCACATCGACGATCAGTCTTCATGAAGTGACCACTGTAACATCTGTCATCGGCAATTCCTTGAACTGACGCAGCGCTCAGTGGAGCGAAACCCTGTCTGTCTTCGTAAAGGATTCGGAATCTATTAAAGAGAACATAGGTTTTGTTATGTTAATTAATGTTCTATGCCGAGGTGAAATGACGTTGATACATTTATGATTCGTACAAGCAACATATCATCCTGCCTCCCCGCCTTTAAATGCCATCTACAAATCTACACGTGCCTAAACACATGCACATTGTGTTCTTCATCACTGGAACGCACCACGTGAGATATCTGCAAATATGTACCGTGCTGGTGTATATTTACGGCTGTATTACATTATTGTCGGTGGGTTTCATTAATCACGTACAATTGCTGTTGGCAACACGATACCTTTAATTCCATAGCTTTTTTTGTATAAATAATACTCTGCCTACTTGTTATAATTGGACTGTCGCCTTCGTTTACGTTCACTGCATGGTTCGGACAGACTTGGTTCGCTCCCTGAACATGCTATGTAAATCTGTGAGTTTTCGCAGCGCATCGGTTATTGATGATCGATTGTTGTTGTTTGGATACAAATTCTAGCGTGAGTGGAGGCGTTATCCCAAATATAGACGTTTTGTGTTGTGTTATATGTTCTAGCTTTTCAAAGTGAAAAGATTTGCTGTTACAAATCAGCTGATAAATTAATCAATCTATCAATGAAGTCCGGGCTACTACTTTCCCATATGCTGCCAACCTATATTATACGCAGTGAGTCTCAGCGTATTCTCGTTGCGTAATTACCTGCACAGATTGCCAGTAAATAAAGATGTCTCATTTCGTCTCGCTGTAAGCGGCTTATAGTGAATGTTATCAAGTCACAGTTGACGTAGTGAATAAATTCTTGTTGGCATTAGAGATGATAGCACTTGTTAATACAACAGCATTATTGCTTGTCAATATGATGCCATCAACACTAGTGAACACAGGGACACTAACACTAATCAACACAGGGACATTAACACTAGTCAACACATAATCACTAACACTATTGAACACTGGGACCCTAACATTAGTGAACACAAGGACACTAACACTAGTGAACACAGGGACACTAACACTAGTCAACACAGGGACATTAACACTAGTCAACACATAGTCACTAACAGTATTGAACACAGGGACCCTAACATTAGTGAACACAAGAACACTAACACTAGTGAACACAGGGACCCTAACACTAGTCAACACAGGAACACTGACACTGGTCAACACAGGGACACTAACACTAGTGATCACAGAAACACTAACACAGTCAACACAGAATCACTAACACTATTGAACACAGGGACCCTAACATTAGTGAGCACAGGGACATTAACACGAGTGAACATATAGACACTAACACTAATGAACACAGGGTCACTCACACTAGTCAATACAGGAACACTAACACTAGTCAACACAGGAACATTGACACTGGTCAACACAGGGATACTAACACTGGTCGACACAGGGACACTAACACTAGTCAACACAGAATCACTAACACTATTGAACACAGGACCCTAACATTAGTAAACACAAGGACACTAACACTAGTCAACTCAGGGTCACTAACACTAGTCAACACGTGGACACTAACACTAGTCAACGCAGGAACACTAACACTAGTCAACACACGAACACTAAAACTAGTCAACTCAGGGTCACTAACACTAGTCAACACAGGAGTACTAATACTAGTTAACACAGAAACAATAACACTGGTCAACACAAGGACAGTAACACTAGTGAACACATGAATTCTAACACTAGTGAACACAGAGACACTAACACTAGTGGATACAGGGACTATAACACTAGTGAACACAGAAACACTAACACTAGTGAACACAGAAACACTAACACTAGTGAACACTAGTGAACACAGAAACACTAACACTAGTGAACACAGAAACACTAACACTAGTCAACACATGAACACTAACACTAGTGAGCACAGGGACACTAACACTAGTCAAATTAGGGTCACTAACACTAGTCAACACAGGAACACTAACACCAGTCAACACACGGACACTAACACTAGTCAACACATGGACACTAACACTAGTCAACCCAGGGTCACTAACACTAGTCAACACAGGAACACTAACACCAGTGAACACATGGACATTAACACTAGTGGACACGGGGACTATAGTACAAGTGAACACAGAAACACTAACACTAGTGAACACAGGGTCACTAACACCAGTGAACACAGGGACACTAACACTAGTGGATACGGAGACTATAACACTTGTGAACACAGAAACACTAACATTAGTGAACACAGGGTCAATGACACTTGTGAACACAGGGTCGCTAACACTAGTTAACACAGGAACACTAACACTAGTGAACACTGCCACACTAACACTAGTCAACTCAGGGTCACTAACACTAGTCAACACAGGAACACTAACACCAGTCAACACACGGACACTAACACTAGTCAACACATGGACACTAACACTAGTCAACTCAGGGTCACTAACACTAGTCAACACAGGAACACTAACACCAGTGAACACATGGACATTAACACTAGTGAACACGGGGACTATAGTACAAGTGAACACAGGGTCACTAACACTAGTGAACACAGGGTCACTAACACCAGTGAACACAGGGTCACTAACACTAGTGAACACAGGGACACTAACAATAGTGGATACGGGGACTATAACACTAGTGAACACAGGGTCACTTACACTAGTGAACGCAGGAATCCGAACACTAACACTACACTAGTGAACACATGGACATTAACACTAGTGGACACGGGGACTATAGCACTAGTGCACACAGAAACACTAGCACCACACAGGGTCACTAACACTAGTGAACACAGGCACACTGACACTAGTGGATACGGGGACTATAACACTAGTGAACACAGAAACACTAACACTAGTGAACACAGGGTCACTGACACTAGTGAACACAGGGTCACTAACACTAGTGAACACAGGAACGCTAACACTAGTGAACACAGGGACACTAACACTAGTCAACTCAGGGTCACTAACACTAGTCAACACAGGAACACTAACACTAGTGAACGCGTGGACATTAACACTAGTGGAAACGGGGACTATAGCACTAGTGAACACAGAAACACTAACACTAGTCAACACAGGGTCACTAACACTAGTGAACACAGGAATCCGAACACTAGTGAACGCAGGGACACTAACACTGTTGGACACGGGGACTATAACACTAGTGAACACAGGGTCACTAACACTAGTGAACGCAGGAATCCAAACACTAGTCAACACAGAAACACTAACGCTAGTGAACACAGGGACACTAACACTAGTCAACACATAGACACTGCCACTAGTCAACTCAGGGTCATTAACACTAGTCAACACATGGACACTGACACTAGTCAACTCAGGGTCACTAACACTACTCAACACAGTTACACTAACACTAGTCAACACATGGACACTGACACTAGTCAACTCAGGGTCACTAACACTAGTCAACACAGGAACACTAACACTAGTTAACGCATGGACATTAACACTAGTGGAAACGGGGATTATAACACTAGTGAACACAGAAACACTAACACTAGTCAACACAGGGTCACTAACACTAGTGAACACAGGAATCCGAACACTAGTGAACATAGGGACACTAACACTATTGGACACGGGACTATAACACTAGTGAACACAGAAACACTAACACTAGTGAACACAGGGTCACTGACACTAGTGAACGCAGAAATCCGAACACTAGCCAACACGGGAACACTAACACTAGTGAACACAGGGACACTAACACTAGTCAACTCAGGGTCACTAACACTAGTCAACACAGGAACGCTAACACTAGTGAACACAGAACACTAACACTAGTCAACACATGGACACTAACACTAGTAAACACAGGACCACTCACACTAGTCAACACAGAACACTAACACCAGTGCACACAATGACACTAACACTAGTCAACTCAGGGTCACTAACACTAGCCAACACATGAACACTAACACTAGTCAATACAGGAACACTAACACTAGTCAACACACGAACACTAACTCTAGTCAACACATGGTCACTAACACTAGGCAACACATGGACACTAACACAAGTCAACTCAGGATCACTAACACTAGTCAACACAGGAACACTAACACTAATGAACGCATGGACATTAACACTAGTGGAAACGGGGATTATAGCACTAGTGAACACAGAAACACTAACACTAGTCAACACAGGGTCACTAACACTAGTGAACACAGGAATCCGAACACTAGTGAACATAGGGACACTAACACTATTGGACACGGGGACTATAACACTAGTGAACACAGAAACACTAACACTAGTGAGCACAGGGTCACTGACGCTATTGAACGCCGGAATCCGAACACTAGTCAACACGGGAACACTAACACTAGTGAACACAGGGACACTAACACTAGTCAACCCAGGGTCAGTAACACTAGTCAACACAGGAACACTAACACTAGTCAACACAAGAACACTAACACTAGTCAACACATGGACACTAACACTAGTCAACTCAGGGTCACTAATACTAGTCAACACAGGAACACTAACACTAGTCAACACATGGGCACTAACAATATTGGACACGGGGACTATAACACTAGTGAACACAGAAACACTAACACTAGTCAACACAGGGTCACTAACAATAGTGAACGCAGGAATCCGAACACTAGTGAACACAAGGACACTAACAATATTGGACACGGGGACTATAACACTAGTGAACACAGAAACACTAACACTAGTCAACACAGGGTCACTAACAATAGTGAACGCAGGAATCCGAACACTAGTGAACACAGAGTCACTAACACTACTCAACACATGGACACTGACACTAGTCAACACACGGACACTGACACTAGTCAATTCAGGGTCACTAACACTACTCAACACGGTGGAACTGACACTAGTTAACA